ATAGCAACATGCAGGTAGAGGTATGAAGTTCAGAGCTGATCAGTATGTGCTTCTGAAAGGCACCTTCTATTGGCACGAAATGGGAAATTAGGTTGCTAGGGAAAATTTCTCATGGTAAATTGCACCCTATCCTAGAAAGTTTTCGAGATTGAGGTGCAAAGGAGCTATTGAGATGCTTACTGCTTCTGATATGTTCACGATGATCAAGATTTTGAAAGGGAAAAGTCCGTATGTTTATATCAAGTGCGGCCTTTCAGTCGTACAATTGTGAAACTTCCATTCCTGCCACCATATTCATTCCACTCAATAGTTGCATATTGCACAAAGGCTGAAATGTTCCAATAGATCAACTTTATTAGGTAGTTGTACACCGGAATAGTATAAAAAAACGGAGTTCTACAGCCCTTTTCCCCACTTGTTCGCACTCCCTCATAGTCTTGTCGGCGATTCTCTGGAACTTCGCGAGCTTCAATGCACATCCTGACATCACATTCAGCCCCTTCCTTCCTCCCAATATGAAACGAGCCTGAAAAATTCACAAATCAAGCTGTTTCACAGTTTTCATTCAATTCAAAGTTACAAAGGCTACTTTTTCTGCCACTTCCTTTTCTTCATTCAAGCTTGACGTTGCTTTGACCCTAATGGGACCTCTTCCTGTTTTGCCCTTCCTGACTCCATCCGGACTTCTGGTTCCTGCTCTAATGCACTACAGTATTACTTCATACAAACTATTTATAGTAAACTTCACTTTTCATCAGTGACCTTCATTCACATAGAAACGTCCGAGTGACCCGTGAGAATGGAAAAAGATATAAACCTGATACCTAACTCCTTGCTTTTATGTTCAGCAAGCTTAAATTCTAAGAATAGGAGGGCCACGATAACTCAAATAAATGGACTGCAAAGGCAGCACCTCCAACGTGTTCTTCAAGTTGTGAAGAATCAACTTAATGTCACATTTGTTACCAAAAGCCTTCAGTTTGGCTCCACTCCAGCAGAAGATGCGGGA